TTTGAAGGGGATTTCCTCCTCAAAAAACAGCACTCGAGAACTTCGTTTATGTAGGAGCCAAATCAACTGCTAAGCAATCAAAGTGCTGTCCTAATAAAGTATTAATAACGTTCGTCTGGAGCCCATGTGCCTTCTCTCCCCGACTTCTTTTGAGGGAATATATTAAAAATTCGACAAGAAAAAATCCCAATTCCGCTGGTAATCCCTCGAGATTAAACTTGCGGTTGTGATTAAACTTTGGCCGATCTTCCTTTAATCTCGTCGGCATTAACATGAATACCTAATAAATCGGGATTTTAATAATCTGATCCGGACAATATTAATTCTTGTCTCCGCCTTAGTCGAATCGCAAACGAACGGGTAATTTAATCAATGTTGATCTGGCTTTTATTAAACGATTACGTCCCTGTTAGCGAGCCAGCACTGCTCATATTTAGCAAACCCGAATAAACCTGCGGAATGTACGGCCAATGTCTGAAGTGTCCCACTGTCTCAATGAATTTATTTCTCATACGTCCGGTGTGATTTATCGACTTTTTCTCCCGTCGCGTATTTAACAACAACCCGCTTCTTTTCTAAGGAACAAAGCAAACAACGGATTAGTATTGTTCATATTTCATTCCTCGGACACATTTTTTTCGATCCTCCGTTTTGCGCTATGACAAATAATGTCCCTTTGATTTATCTCCACTGAAGAGTTACGGCGAATGGCGTGTCCTGCAGACAAAAACAGTTTTTTTCTGCCTTAATGGATCGTGTCTTTCGATATCGGATTTCAGGATTTCTTCATGTCACTGACGGCCCATATTTTCGATACTTTTCGACTGTTTGATCAGCGTGAACAATTCTCTGAAATTTTATGCCGTGTTTTTGCTTACTTTTAAAGCTTTTACCGTTACAACCATCGTAAAACTGGACTTGATTTGGGCAGGTTTATCGGTTCAGTTGGCAACAGATCTCTAACGCACTTTTATATGCTAATACTTTACTGCATTTGTTGCAGAAACCCTTCGATTAACGTGAATCTGCGACTGAAGATCCAAACATTTGCGTTACCGAAAAAAAACTGATGGTCGGAAGCGAGGCTGTGTAGTGAATGGTAATACACTGGGCAGTCTTCTGGTCAAAACCAACCAGCAATACCCATTGCAAACTGTCTGAAGAAGGCGCTAAATCAAGTTTCTTATCTTAATCTTCCACCGTGTATATAAATAAGCAACACATCCAGCAGTGTTGCCAGACGAAGCCATGCTCTCAGCATGAGAAGAAAGAGTCACATCTGCTAAGCGAAAAAGTGCTGATGAGACTAGAGGTTTGATCAATTGCCCTCACCTTACCGGTCCCCAGTAGTAAAAGTTCCTTACTCAATGAACCAGAAAATCGCATTTTCACCCCGAATCCCCAAAGAACTGGCTTTCTATTAGCCCAAACCGCCCTTGTCACTAGGTAATTTACTATGCTATTAAACTATCGATGCGCTAGTCAAATTGCTTACATTATCGACGCATATTCTAGCGCACCGCACCGTTATGCGAACACTACATAGGTAATGGGCTTAATCGCAAAAGACCCCACATTGTTACCCACCCCTGGTAACAGGAAAATCCCAAAGAGACCCGCAGATAACCCAATTCCGACACCCCAGCCGATCGCTTCACGATCTGCTAATTCCGAAAATTCAATTGCCTGTTGCCGCTGATAAATGAATTTTTCGCTACAAACTCGGAAATATTCCGGACGCGATGTCGCTTGCACTTGTTGCATTTTTAACCGCCTTCCTCTCTTGTCTTATTCATGTGTCTTCAGCGACATTTCCTTTAATGGGATTGCTCGAGCTGAAAGGTTATCGCCGTTTTCAATGCACCGAACAGACGAAAGGCTTAAGTGGCATTTCAAACTGATTTTTAGCTAATCTGCACACTTTTTGCATCGATGTGCGCCATTTGGCGCATCAAAGTGGGTCAGGAGTGTCAACCGACTCTGAACTCTTTATCTGGAACAACAATGAATCAAAAACTCTTTATGTGTGCAACTATCGCTCATTTTTTTGCGCTGTTATCTCACAAATTTGAATATCAGACATTTAGGTGCAAGATTAGGCCGAAATTTCATGTTTTCCGTCCCGTTCTTGATCATTTCTTGAAAGCAAAATCCGCCAGAACGTTAATTTTTACATCGTTCCAGAGAGAACTAAATCGCCTTTTTAGAAAGTGAACCATCGATACGGAAATGTTGGCAGTTTCCTCAAAAAAGTCTTGATTTCAAGAAGTTTTAGATTTGCGTGTTTTTTTCAGTTGCAAAATCGACTCAAACATGACGCTGCTTTTTCCGAAGTTTCCCAAGAACCATTTGAGCCACAGAATTCGTTTTTGCATCGTTGGACAGAGAATTGAAAATTTGATTCAGTCATAATAAGAGTCAGGAAATACGAGTTGTTTTGACCCACAAGGCGAAATTTGAATATCAGACATTTAGGTGCAAGATTAGGCCGAAATTTCATGTTTTCCGTCCCGTTCTTGCTCATTTCTCGGAAGCAAAATCCGCCAGAACGTTCATTTTTACATCGTTCCAGAGAGAACTAAATCACCTTTTTAGAAAGTTTTAGGTTTGCGTGTTTCTTTCAGTTGCAAAATCGACTCAAACATGACGCTGCTTTTTTCGAAGTTTCCCAAGAACCATTTGAGCCACAGAATTCGCTTTTGCATCGTTGGATAGAGAATTGAAAATTCGATTCAGTCATAACAACAAGGTTCTGCCAATATTTCATGTTTTCCGTCCCGTTTTTGCTCATTTCTCGGAAGAAAAATCCGCTAGAACGTTCATTTTTATATCGTTCCAGAGAGAACTAAATGGCCTTTTTAGAAAGTGAACCATCAATAAGGAAATGTTGGCAATTTCCTCAAAAAAGTCTTGATTTCAAGAAGTTTTAGATTTGCATGTTTCTTTCAGTTGCAAAATCGACTCAAACATGACGCTGCTTTTTCCGAAGTTTCCCAAGAACCATTTGAACCACAAAATTCGTTCTGGCATCGTTGGACAGAGAATTGAAAATTCGATTTAGTCATAACAAGAGTGAGGAAATTCGAGGAGTTTTGTCCCACAAGGCGAAATTTGAATATCAGACATTTAGGTGCAAGAATAGGCCGAAATTTCATGTTTTCCGTCCCGTTCTTGCTCATTTCTCGGGAGCAAAACCCACCAGAACGTTCATTTTTACATCGTTCCAGAGAGAACTAAATAGCCTTTTTAGAAAGTGAACTATCGATAAGGAAAGGCAGTTTTCTCAAAAAAGTATTGATTTCAAGTCGTGTAAGGTTCGCGTTTTCTTTTTCAGTTGCAAAAATGACTCAAACATGAAAATTCGAGTAGTTTTGGCCCAGACAGTGACATTTGAATATCATACATTGAACAGCGGCGGATCAAGCTTTCGAGTAGTCTAAAGTAGAAAGTAGTAGAAATTCTTCTTCTTAGAAAGTTGCTCCTTAGTAGAAAGTCTTAGAAAAATGCTCGTTAATCAACATAAATCCCGCACAAGGTCCCCTGGGGTCATGATCCCCTGGATCCGCCTTTGGTTGCAAGGTGATGAAGCTAAAGGTGTGAGGCGATTTTCCTCTCTCAAGCTCTGATTATGATGCTAACAGAAAGAAAAGTTGATGTTGGAATTGCACGATATAATTCAGTACGGCACAGTGGTACCGGATGGTTCTTAACAAGGGGGCCTCTGATAGGTCGAGAGGTCGGACCCGATGGTGCCCAATGGAGCGCGACGGGGTGCAAACGTGAACCACGGCAAAAACCGTGAGAGATGTCCCGGCATTTAAGCCATTTACACATTTATGAAAATTATTATCGACGCCACAGTGGGCGATTTTTGCATGAACCGGTCGGGGTCGTGCTATTGTTTGGAAATTACGATGCGACATTGCGTGTTTGGACTGGCCTGAGAAAGTTCACTGTTTGCAATGAACGAAACATATAGTCCGACCCGTGGTCCTTCGTATGAGACCGCAAACACTGACGTCACACGACCAGCCAGTGGAAACTTATTCCATATAGCTTATACATGTTGGATGCTTTCAAGTGGATGTTTTCATCTGTTTGGCTCATCCTTTTGTTTTTAATCCCCAATAGAACCCAAGCCTCCAAATCGTCCTGACTGATCCCCAGGTGTTTTTCTCTAAATTGCCTCCCAACTGGCTCCACCATGTGCGCCTTCTTCTCACACACCGTTTCAATACAGTTTCGCATCTTTCGTAAGGGTGGTCGCGCCCCCATATTCGCATTCAACAGATTTGTTTGCCGAAGGATTATAAGCCACTGTAACGACGAAGATCCAGGCTGTCAACGAAAATCACGTGTTTGCACACAACCCCCATTATCGAAGGGGATCGAGTTGCCACTTTCTCGCACCCCCCGTTTGTAGCTATGACAGCGGCATTTTCATCTCCCCCGATTCTCCACTGCATTCCGTTTAACCGAGCTAATTGATGGACGACAGCACTGAACCTTATTTGACCCCAACTATTTGATACCCATGGCCCATGGCACTGATGATGGACGCAAAATCAATTGTTTCCCGAACTGACACTCCGTTCAGCTGAGTGCTGAATGAAACTAGTGGACGGTTTTGGATCTTTCGAAGTTGCTCAGCACGCACCAGCCGCGCACGGGACGATTTTTCGTGTCGACAAGAAAAACCCTGCAGCGTGAAAAACTGTTTATGAATAAAGGATTTCGATGTAGCACAAAAACTGGGGGGAATTTAGCAGAGCGTTTTTGTTGTGAATATTTACGATAAGTGGTTACATGTGGACAGAACAGAAATGCATTGATCACTGCCGCCTGTTTGTGCATGCGTTTCGTGCCTTTTGCGGCCCCTTGTCGTTCCGAATGTTTTACATTAACGCGAAACCTGCATCGGCATTAATTTCAAATGCCAATGCCCTTCCATGGAAAACCAGCGGCGCCATCTAGTCTCTCAACAACAACAACCAACTCACCTTCAGTTACTCGGGTGAGCTCCATGGATCTGCACACATTGGAAGCACACGGATTCGTCTGGATATCCTTGCCGGAGCAGCTTTTCTTCGTCCCACCCGTTCCAGGGATGCACTGTCGCTTTCGCACTTTGATGCAGTCCTCGTTGCAGTCTGACCAATCAGACCAGCTGGACCAATGGGGAGGCTCCACTAAACACCACACAAAACGGTCATTAAAGCCCAGGACCTTGCCAGAAAGGGAAAAAGAAGCTACGGTTGCAAAAGGTGTTCCATAAAGAACGGCGGTTTTGAATTGCGCCCCATTTGTAGGGTCATCATGGAGCGGTTCAGAACATAACTACGAATTCTCATTGTGAAAAATGATTATCAAAGTGATGGAAGTTTTGCAGCCCCAGTGAGCAAAATGCGTGCCATTAGGGGCCATCGGAATGAGGATAGCCCAACCACATCAATTCGGCATAGAGCTTAGGAAATTGGTGTTTCCACAACCACTATACATCAAAGTTAACAAAATATTTGAAGCTTCATGCGCACAAAGTTGAATTGCCTCAAGAATTAAAGCCGGAAGACCATCGGCAATGAAGAGCCTTTGTTGATTGGGTTTTGGGGCAACGACAATTGGACGGTGATTTTTCAACGAAAATTATTTTTAGTGACGAGGCCCATTTACATCTTCGTTAATCGACCAAATTGTCGCATTTGGGGTCCCGAAAATCCACGAGTGATCGTTCATAAACAGATGCATCCAAGAAGAGTCACTGTTTGGTGTGCATTGTGGGCTGGAGACATCATCGGACCATTCTTGTTCGAAAATGCAGTTGGTCAAATAACTGTGAGTGCTGTTCGTTGTCGTAAAATGTTAACTAACTTTTCTGTCAAAATTGCAAAATATGCAACTCAACAGCATGTGGTTTCAACAGAACGGTGCAACATGCCATACAGCCAAAGAAACTGTTGAATTACTGCACGAGCCATTTGCTGGACGTGTTATTTCTCGTTTTGGAGATCGGCATTGGCCGCTCAGAACATGCGATTTAAGGCCTTCGGACTTTTTCTTTGGGGTTTTTAAAAGTCGCAAGTTTACGTGAACAAACCAACAACGATTGAAGCCTTAAACGATGAAATTCAACGCTGCATCTCTGAAATACCGCAAAATTTATGCGTAGCAGTCCTTGAAGGTTTCATGAAAAGAGCACGTCTGTGCCAGCAAAACCGATCATTTMTCCGATGTCTTATTCCATTCATAACCTCATGATGTGTACTTCATTGATCAATAAATGTTTCAAACTTAYGCCACAAATATGTATGTTTTATTTTAAATTTAAATCCGTCGTTCTTMTTGGAACACCCTTTGTTAAGTGGTGGTTACCTGGCGTGTAGTAGTGAGTGGTGGTGTGGTGAACTGTACGGCAAAAGCAGTTTAATAGCGAATTTKGTTTGARRTTTCGAAAATTTGAGGGTGTAGGGGGTTTTGGGGTGTCATAGGAGCAGGTCGACGCTTTGCACAATTCAGATTTTCAGAGATTTSAGCGAGTTTGGCGCCAGATTTATAAAAAGTGAGAGCAMSTCWATAACCACARTGAGCCTGAGGATCAAGTTTCTGCTTAAAACTCTTCAATTTTGWRCACTKKTTGAAAAAASTTAGTTACTTTTGAATGAACTCATCTTGGGACGTTTTTAAGTTCGAGTTAAAGTTCTTGACGCTTTGTAAYTTTCAATGTTGCARCACCGGCATRGTKGATCAATCAACCTTCCAACTCCCAGTGCYTTTATTGGGTGCTAAACTAGCGAGTTTTGCGTTAATTTACAAAGTTAGTGTGTTGTGCAAAGAATCATTATGATTAGCTTCAAATGCCAGCTTATCTAGCCCTTACCGTTGTTATAGTCATAATCGTAGGCCGTATCCAAGATCAATTCTTCTACGAAAGCAGTGGGACAACAAACATTAAAAGCGGGTTAAGTACAACGGTTTTCCCATTAAAAATTGGAAGGTTGGTGGGTTTGTCGTTAGCTTTTCGAGAGTTGAGCCTGCTGTGAAACGCGACTGAGTTAATTGGGCGCATTCGAAATTAACCCCGACTAATCGCATCGTCACGCAACACCGCCCGCGTATTCCAATCTCAATGATGCCCCAAAACAGTGGGTTTGGTCGACTAACAGGAACCATCAATAAAGTCTTCGAACTATCAATTTAGCTGGCGACAAGCCCACCAAAACTCCCGCAAAATTTAAGCAGTGGACTGCATTAGCTCTACATGAACGGGTCAAAGTGGTAACGTTGTCCTACCTTGTGGACATGGGATGCAGTCTTTTGTCCGCTTCACACTCGATCCATGGCAGGACAGTCCACCGTTGCTGGGTGCCGGATTGTTGCAGGATCTCGTGCTCATTTTTCCAGTGGCCAAGACGTCGCCCGAACAACGACAGTCTGTCCAGGGGCCCCAAGCCGACCAACCACCATTTACTGGAACAAAATTAGTGTTGCGAGTCTTTTAGTGGAAGTGAAGTCCGGGTTCTATCCAGCTTGAAGCAATCGCTCGCGATAGAAGCAAAAAAACTGGAAAAGGGGCTCGTAGCGGCCGTTTATGAGTAAACAACTCGTGAGACTTGGTACTTTTTCCGCCTGAAAAAGGCAGCACCTCACTCTTTGGATTAGAACGCGTTGGTTCTTTGCCCCATTAACGTTTTTCCCAAAATATTTAGTCGCCAATTAAGTCTTTAGAAAGCCTTTAAAAAATGTCTCCAATATTTTCGTTGTAGAAAAGTTCGATATTGTTGAGGCGGATTCATTTTTTTACAAACATCTTTTTGGGTATTTCGCCTCAAAAATTTTTGTCTTTAAAAAAGGCAGAACTTCCTCACGTCTTTTATTACAGATTGATAAATAGTGCTCCTATTTCGCAATAAGAACGAATTATTTATCAAAAAGTAATCAAGGACTATCACCTAGAGGGTATCCGCGACACACTTAGGCTCAAGCTGTAAGAGAAAATTCCAATTAGTAGAGAAATTAATTTGAAAAATTATCTTGACGTTTCGATAGCTATTTTCTGCTATCTTTATCAAAAGAACCTAAAAAAGAGTATGTTAATAAATTGTGTAACAATAGTAGGATAATACAAATTAGCTCTGATAATTCGTCTGTGCAAATTGTCAGTTATGTGACTTTGACTTAATTTCATTGTATAAATTAACAAAGTTAATGTTAATTAATAATTTTGGTGTAAATTTAATTTGGGTGTATGTTTCTCTGGTCTACTTCAGATTTTAGCATAGGTAAACATCTATGACTTAAATTAAATGAACATGAAGCAACACAATTATTTTGATTTAGTAAAATTAGTGCGCTTTCTTTAATTTTACGTTTTTTTGTGGATTGT